AAGTGTGGACTGTGGTGCGCTCTAGCTACAATCACGTCAAATACTAACATACGTATGATAAAAAAAATGTTTCTATTTATAACTAAGATGGATTACTGAAGTCCGTAAACATCATAAGAAACACATATATAAGGGAATTTGAGTTTTGTTAGACAAAGACATCACATGTGTACAAACGAATTAATTCAGATTTATCCTATGATGGATTTATAGTTTTTATTTGTTCGAGAAAATGGATGACCTCTAGAATCAGTAAGATGCTAATTGCTATGGTGAGCCGAACACCTCGTACTAATATAAGAATTGGTTTAATATGATAGTATCAAATGATGGAAAAGAATTGTTTTGATAGTGTACAATGGTTTTAAGAACATTTTACCATTCTTTACAAGTAACAGAGCATACTTGTTGGTACGTACATACTAGACAACAATTTGTTATGAAGATATACAGTATATATATATATATATATATATATATATATATATATATATGATCTTTAGAAAAATATGTGATCTTACATTTTTTAAAAATTGTAAACGATCAATCAATGAATGATCCCATCCAAAGATTAAAAGTATATTTTATCATGAACAATATCATTTTACTAAAAATCAATAACAACAAAAGGGTAAATTAATAATTTTGAAATCGTGTAAAGTAATATATTCTTGATGGGGAAGAGTCTCCAAGGCATGTTGTGACTACTCAATGAGTTGCAAAATAGAACATCCTCCATTTATATCTTCTTTCATATTTTTTTGTCGGTACATTATTGACTATATATTAATATTTTTATTTTAAAATGAATTTTTAATTTAATTTTACGCTAATATTATTTTTTCACCACCAGCTTTATTCACAGTATTGAAAATACATACTTTTTTTTTTGGTAAACTGAAAATACATACTAATTTTAATTATAAAAAAAACTGTAACTGAGTTAAAATTAAAATGTTTTACATTTGACAAAAAAAAAGACAAAACAAATATACTCCAAATAGAATAATATGAATAATATATAGCTACAATCAGTCGATCAAAATTTCAGATTAAATTTTTGTAATATATAGCTACAACCTAATATAATACTTACTCAATAATATAAAGCTACAATCAGTCGATCAAAATTTCAGATTAAATTCTCTTAGTATCCATGGATAGTTATAGAAAAAACAATTAACAACTAAAAAATAAAACATTTTTTCCGTTACTACTTTAAGACTTGTTTTTGTTTTTCATTCTTGTGGCCTTGTGGGAATGATATTTTAATGGAGAAAGATCTTTAATTTTTCGTATTTAATCATTTAATTTTATTGTGAATGACATAAAATAGGAATCTACTAAAAAAATTGCTTTTGTGAGGCTGAAGCTTCTCTCTTTTGATTAGAAGGAAGAAGCGTCTGTGTGTCGTCTATCATCGGCCTCTCCTTCCTTTCCTTACTTCCTAAGTATTATGACCTTTTTTTGTGTAGTGGGGTTTGAGAAATTATCTCCCAAGAAAATACACAACTGTCTATTTTCTATAAGAAAACTTCTATTTTTATTTAAATATTAAATCAAGAAAAAATATTATTACTACAAAGTTGTATAAAACACTATTGAACTTCACTATTTTCTGTTTAATTTTGACATGTTAATTAAAAGGTTGGATAATCAAATCATGTCTTTGATAGTCGGAGAAAGAAAAAAAACATGTTTTGATTACGATACATTTGATTTTGTTTTATTTAAATTACAGGAGAAACTAAACACACACAAAATCATAAGTCATAACCTTCAAACACCGTGATTATGCGACTAGTATCATTTGAGAGATTCCAATAGAAATGAATACAGTATATTGAATACGCTGATGTTTTGGCGATATTATTACCGGTTCTCAGCACAAAAACGTAAGATTTTATTTATCAAAACAACTTATGAGACATTATATACTTAGTATAAATCACAGTACATATTATAAAATTACCAACACAAAAACGAATAATAAGAAAGAAACCTTTGGCAGTGGGACAATTTTGGGTAACGAGAGGATCCATTGGCCGATCAGTAAAAGAATATTGTCAGAGTGGGAATATTAGATATGATCGTCATTCCTTTGTTTTAATATACAATCACGTGTGTTAATAAATAGAACTTGTATTAATTACCAACATTATTTATGAAATATTCTTTTTCTTTTTTTGACAAATTCCAATCATGTGTAGGTAAGATATTGTCATATTGGAGTTTGGACATACTATTATATGCAGATACTATCATTCATAAATTCTCTCACATATAAAACGTTCGTTAATTACCCAATATAAGTAAGACAAGTAATAAATATAATGTTCAAAAGAAAAAACAAAAAAAACATTATATGTTGAAAATAAAATCAAAATTTCAAAATGTTTTTCTACATAATTTTTTATGGTAGAAAATTATGTTATTACACTGTTTTCTTATATACAGATAAAAAAAAAAAAATTAACCAAATCAATTCAGATGGTAAAAATAAAAGGGATTTAGTCTTAGGACGTATCGTTGAAAACCCTTGCTATAAAGTCTTTTACGCCACCGTCAACATAAGTTGTTCTTCGTTCCCATCTAAACCCTAAACTCTTTATTTTTCTGCCGCTTCTTTCCCATCTAAACCCTAAACTTTATATTTTCCCGCCGCTTCTTTCGGCAACTTCTCTCATTAATATGAATATGAATTGGACTCCTCTCGAATTCCTATGGGATCTGAAAGCAGTAAAGGTGCATGTTGGCTACCCACCTAATTTCGTTGTCCCCAGCATTCGGTTATATATGAATATGAGGGGATATTTTGGACCGCGTGGTGCTCCTGTGTATGGTGGTACTCCTCCGTATGGTGGTGGTGCTCCCCCGTATGGCGGTTTATTTTGTTAATTTTTGCCTTCACCATCAAAAATATCCCATCATGTTCAAGATTAGTTCAAAAATAATATATTTGTAGGTGAAAGGCATCTAGTTACTAAAATCAATAAAATAATCCCCGTATGAAAGTATTGACAAAAATCAAAAATATTTATTACTTGTCTTACAAAATAAATAGTTGTACACATATGTCCATCATTTTTTTTTAGGGGATTAGCTGTATGAAAGTATTGACAAAAATAAAAAAAAAGTGATAGTCTAATGATGTTCAAGCTAATAATACATTAAGACGTAACATTTTGGTGGTCTGAGGACGAAATCATTTTGAAGCATAATGAAAACATTTGGTCTAACATTGGCAATTCAATTTAACAAAGAGAGAGAAAAAAAAATACACATTTGGCGAGTGACTTTGTTCGATGCATGAATCATTGATTTTGTTTTTTGTTCCGCAAATATAAACTATAATAACAAACTATGTCCTCGAATTAATTAGTTGTTAAGCATGAGATTAGGATACAAGTGGATCCCATTGCATGTAGGCGTTCACACGGTGGACTATTAAAATTGATTATTTCTCTTAAACTTTTTAAAAACATAGTTATGTTAAGTAACAAAATGTGGATTTAGTCACTAATTTAATAATAAACAACTAGAAAAGTTGCCACAAAAAGAACTTTAGTATTTTAGTGTGTTAATTGAGCCGCTAAAGATTAAAAAGATAATTTTATGTAAGAAAAAAGTCGAATTATGTTAGAAAAAGAGTGTAATAATGAGAAGAACCTTTTCTTCAGTTGAATAATGTCTCAGTGAGAAGAAGCTTTTCTCCACGAGATTAATATAAACTAGGCGATATATTTACGAAAATGATGATTTATAAACCGAATATGATCAAACATTTCCAAAATTACAAGAAGAAGAAAAAAGTATATTCAAAAGAATGAGGAATGGGTTTTGTTTTCTGGTACACCAAAGAGAAAAAGAAGACAAAAAAAAGAAAGAAAGAAAGATAAATTTCCATGAAAATGAAAGCTAATAAGTGAAGAAGAGAACATATTCTTCTTTTTTTTCCTTTGCAGCAGCTTAGAGAGAGAAGTGGGGGCTAAGTAAAGGAAGAAGTGGGCGTGATTCTTACGCGCTGACTTAATGATCAGTCAATCTCTGGCCCATGGGCTTCTCTGTCATTTTCTCCGACATTATTACCTCAAAAGTTAGCCCATTGTGGGCCCGCTTTCTTTCCCCCTTGCTTTTTACCGTGTCCATCTGTGGGCTCCACATAAAGCCCAGTGGTCACTCCTTTTTCTTTCCTTTTTTGTCGCAAGCAGCGGGGATTAGTGTCCGTTAAACATCATCGACTGAAATTGTTTAATGCAATTTTTTCCCCATCTTTTGGGTTATCAATCCAATAATTTTCTCTAGCTTTTGTAACTAGTGTGAGATTATGTGATATATACTAAATTAATACATAATTCTTGTAGTTTATGTGGTACTAACAATTACGTTTAGTGAAAACTAGAACGACGTTGTAGAGTTTGTTTAGTTAGAATAATTTTTTTAACTTTCGATATACATACTTGGTTAGTTTGATTTTTTTTTTCTTTTTGATCACTTTAATCGTCAAATGTAAACCAAAAAAACTTTCAGTTAAATGTTTTTGTAAATAGTGTTTAAAATTTTAGGATGAAAAAGACCCCAAAAAACCCACTCAGACCAAAAAAGAGAAATCATTAACCTTTTTTTAACTACCTTTTTATCTTTTTCCCAACTTTCACCTTCTTGATGATCAATCAAATGATTTATTTTTTATTTTTAAAGTAGAGAAACTTTATTTGTATTTATACATTATGAGAAATCAATAATAATTTTACATATACTATTAAACATAAACATACAAAACAAAAACCGGTTTAAGTCTATCAGTTGGATTTCATGTGAAATATGTTACTTTTGAGGAAAATAAAAAAAAACGGAATCATACACAAATCATTGTCAATCAGATTTTTTCGTGTAAACCCGGATTAGACACGGTTACCAAAGTTGAAATCTTTTTTTTTTTTGCACGCACTCCCTCAAAGATAAAAAGCTTACCACTCTCACCTTTCAAAAGCCCCGCCACCTTCTTCTTCTCCACACACAAAGAAACAAGAGAAAGACGATCTCTTTTTTCATTTTCTTTTCTAAAGGTTTCACTTTTCTTCTTCTTCTTTACACAACACATGAAAATCCCAGCTTCTTCTCCTCAAGACACGACCAACAACAACAACAACAACACTAACAGTACTGATAGTAATCACTTATCAATGGACGAACATGTCATGCGTTCTATGGATTGGGATTCTATCATGAAAGAATTAGAGCTTGATGATGATTCTGCTCCTAATTCTTTGAAAACCGGCTTTACTACAACCACCACCACTGATTCTACTATTTTGCCTCTTTACGCCGTCGATTCAAATCTCCCTGGCTTTCCCGATCAGATTCAACCGTCCGATTTCGAATCATCATCCGATGTTTATCCTGGTCAGAACCAAACAACCGGGTACGGGTTCAATTCTCTTGATAGTGTCGACAATGGAGGATTTGATTTCATTGAAGATTTAATCCGAGTCGTGGATTGTGTTGAATCGGACGAGTTACAACTCGCTCAGGTGGTTTTATCACGGCTTAATCAACGTCTGAGATCTCCGGCGGGTAGAGCGTTACAGAGAGCTGCGTTTTACTTCAAGGAAGCTCTCGGTTCGCTTTTAACCGGATCTAACCGGAATCCAATCCGGTTATCTTCTTGGTCAGATATTGTTCAGAGGATCCGAGCGATCAAAGAATATTCCGGGATTTCTCCGATCCCTCTCTTCTCTCATTTCACGGCGAATCAAGCGATACTCGATTCTCTGAGCTCGCAGTCGTCTTCTCCGTTTGTTCACGTGGTGGATTTCGAGATCGGATTCGGTGGCCAATACGCATCGCTCATGAGAGAAATCACTGAGAAATCTGTTAGCGGCGGATTTTTAAGAGTTACGGCGGTGGTGGCGGAGGAGTGCGCCGTCGAGACGCGGCTGGTGAAAGAAAACCTAACTCAATTCGCGGCGGAGATGAAAATTCGTTTCCAGATTGAGTTTGTTCTGATGAAGACTTTCGAGATGTTATCTTTCAAAGCGATTAGGTTCGTTGAGGGAGAGAGAACCGTCGTTTTGATTTCTCCGGCGATATTTCGTCGTGTGAGTGGAATCACTGATTTTGTGAACAATTTACGGAGAGTATCACCTAAAGTTGTCGTTTTCGTCGATAGCGAAGGATGGACAGAGATCGCCGGATCTGGATCGTTCCGGCGAGAGTTTGTTAGTGCTCTTGAGTTTTACACGATGGTGCTGGAGTCGCTCGACGCTGCAGCTCCTCCCGGAGATTTGGTGAAGAAGATAGTGGAAGCGTTTGTGCTACGACCAAAGATCTCCGCGGCGGTGGAAACAGCGGCTGATAGGAGACACACCGGTGAGATGACATGGCGGGAAGCTTTCTGCGCCGCCGGAATGAGGCCGATTCAGCTAAGCCAGTTCGCCGACTTTCAAGCTGAGTGTTTATTGGAAAAGGCGCAAGTTAGAGGATTCCACGTGGCGAAACGACAAGGAGAATTGGTGCTGTGCTGGCACGGAAGGGCACTTGTTGCCACGTCAGCTTGGCGGTTTTAGATAAACCGGGATTGGTTTAAACAATATGATATAGAAGAATAGAATTGTATCTACCGCCTTTAATTTTCCTTTTTTTTGTGTTTCTCTTTTAAATAAAGGAAATAAAAATATTTCTTATCAAAAGTCTCTGTTCGAGCTAGAGTCTTTCTCTATTCAAAACACAAAGTGACCTTTTTTTCGAGTGTGAGTTCGTCGTCAATTTGGTAAAAATCGCCGATGAGCGGGTTTGCTTCACAGATTCCATCCATGGCGCTTCTTGGATCTGGCCTCACCGGCGAGGTAATCTTCCTTCAGTTTGATTGATGTTTCCGCTTGTACGGCTTTTGTTCCGATCCATGATTTGGGGATTCGTGACAAAGTTTATGATTACTTTAATTAGATATGTATGTTTAGGAATCCGTCATCGTCTGTCTTGTTTGAATTCAGATTTTTTCTATAGTGGATTGGTGTTTGTTTCGATTACTTTTTGACAATTGCCTTTCAATTCCTGAATATTTGGATATTCTCAACTTTGGGAAATAATTGTTGTTTTTCTCTATGGAATTTTCAGGTTGGGTTGCGTGTATTGCTCTCTCCACTTAGTTCCAATATCGTACTTCGTACAGCATGGTGAGTTTTCTTCTTCTTTAGTTGTAAGGTGAAGAAAGCTATCTAAAGGCGAGTGATTCTCAATGGAATAATATTGGAGGAATGATCTGATGATTTATAATGTTTATGATCTGATTGAGTGATTCTCATTCACATGTGAAGCAATGGGGTAGGGAGGGAGTTTTTTTTTTCGGTCATGATTATTAACTTAGCCGAGTGGACAAGAGGGTTCTACAACTTGTTGGGATACTTTAGGGTATCTTTTGGACTTTTATTGTTGGGGAATCTTGGATTCCTTTTGTTCTAGCCGAGTTTTTGGGTTCTTTTCTCTATTACAAGGTGTTATAGTTGTAGTTGACTCAAGGATTCGGTTATAAAGGCCACGTTTGCGGTATGTCTGAATCTTGTTTCTTGCAGCTGCTCCATTGGCATCGGGTTGCCTGTGTACTCTACCTTCAAGGCAATTGAGAGTAGAGACGAGAATGAACAACAAAGAATGCTAATTTACTGGGCAGGTGGGACATTGTTACTGCAATTTCTATGACCTTTTTAGTTTCTTTCCTCATCTCTTCTTTGGTTGTTCTCTATTGTTCTTATGCCTTCAAGAGTTTATTGCAATCTCCATTGGCCTACTTTCACATGTTGATATTATTTTTTTTTCTCTCTCTCTCTTCACTGTCTGTGCAGCTTATGGTTCTTTCAGCCTTGTTGAAGTATTTACGGACAAGATCATTTCTTGGTACGATTGACATCTCGAAACTATCGACATAGTTTGATGATATAGCAGTATAATATATTGTTTTTTCTAATGGACTTTATCAAGAAACAGGGTTTGACTAACTCGATATTATTTGTAGGTTCCCGCTGTACTATCATGTGAAGTTTGCGTTCCTCGTTTGGCTTCAACTCCCAACAGTCGAGGTACCTTTCCCTATCTCTTTGAAACCATCATCTAACGTGTAACAAGCTTTAACCTGGTACTCATTCTGCTATTCTCTCAATTTGCTTGTTTGCCTAAAATAGGGATCAAAACAAATATATAACAACCAGATTCGTCCTTTCCTCCTACGACACCAAGCTAGAGTGGACCGACTCGTGGATGGAGTATATGAAGAAATGGTACATAACTGCTTTCTTCAGAACTCCATATTCTTGAGTTACTTTAACAAATGCTTTCAAACATTTGCAGGTGAAGGTCGTTAGGTCACACCAAGGAGAAATACGGTTTGTCCGATCAATGATTGTCAAAATCTTGGGATCAGGTTTGTTTCTGAACTCTATTTTCCTATCACTTAGCTATCCGGTTATTGAACTGTCTATTTTATTCGCACTGTTGTTCCAGCAGCCAATGAGGTTGCACCACCAGGCCAACGACTAGGAGAAATAGCAAATGATAGCCCCGAACAAGCAGAAACAAACTCGGATTCAGAATCCGATTCCAATCACGAAGACTAATAAAACAAAGTGTAATCGTAGCTTTTGCAGCTTCTACAGTCTTGTAGGTCAAATCTCTATTACACAAAAATGTCAAACGATTGTATAGTTATGTAATCTCAAATAACTTTGGACTGAGTTTTTTTTTATCCGGTGTTGAAAAATCACAATAATCCGTTATAAAATTCCATGTTTCCTACGTGTTAATTTTTTCCTTCACCATCTTTCGACCCAGCAGCATTCTGCTCTAGATTAGCTACAGCCTCTGCTCCAAGCACTCTCTGCAACTCATCCTGTAGTATTCGATGACTCTTGTGTAAATGCAAGCCAAGAGAAATAAGATAAAAATTGGAAAGAGTGATTTTCGGATAAGAATCTGTTACCTGGATTGAGTTGTTCTCAGACTTGAGCTTTTCACATTCGCTTGAGAGTCTTTGTAGCTCATCTCTCAGGCTTTGATTCTCGTTCGACAAACTCTCTACTCTCTGTTGAAGTTGTTCGCATTCCGCCTATTCGAAATGGTTTATTATGAAATGAGCATTACATAAAGCAAACAGAGTAAAATGATACTAACACAGATATGTATATTACCTGCTTCCGCAATCTAGACCGCCTAGCGGATTCACGGTTAGACTGTTTCCTCTTCTGCCTCTTGAGCTCTCGTTCATCCTGTTGAGTAAACAAAGGATTTTGTAAGGAAGAATATAGCCAATTCACAAAAGCTACTTTGCATGGTGAAATGATGAGTTAGTCATACCTTCACAGGTACACCAGCTTGGGAAGACCATAAGTCCATCCCGATATTCAGATTAGTCCCTGGGGCTACCGGCTTCATGGGCACCGAACCTTGGATTTCACCAGTAGTACTTTGAGAACTTGCTGTTTAAGGAAACTTTACAAAGTCAAGAAACATGGGAAACACAAGTAAAGGAAAACCACAAAATAAATCAAAGTCAAAAGCATACCGTCCGCAAGCATCTGTCCAAAGCTCGGCTTTCTAACTGAACCTTGTTCCTACATTAACATGAATCTCAATTAAACAGAGCAAAACGCATTGAAGAACCAGAGAACACTTCAAACACATAACAGTACCTGTTGATTGGCATTGTCATCATTTTCATCAGATGAACCCGCTGTGACACTTTCATCACTGCACAACGGAAAGATCATAATTACATCAAAGCTTCCTCATGATCTCTTAATATAACACTGCAATCAAACTGAACAAGTAACACGTTAAATAGAGTGTTATTAATATCACCTATGAGAGACACCATCGTTCCCTGAACCAGAGAGCGCTTTGTCACCTCCTTCACCCTTTTTTTTCGAGCTCCCCTTTGGCTTCTTGCCAGAAGCTTGGTCCTTCACAGTCTCCTTGTTGGTTGGAGCAGAATTAGGAGGCTACAACAGAAGAATGTCGAGCAATTTTTTTTACTTTCTCATTTATCTATGCAAGCCATGTAATAGAGCAAAAAGCTTTAAACGATAGCTAAATTTTATGTTAATAGTATGGAGATTACCATGGGCATGTTAGGATGAGCATAGACTGCTCCCGGGGGATACATTGCTGGGTACGGTACTGGGGTCCCATAAGGCGGCATCATATGGTGCTGAAAGTATTGAACAACAGAAAAACTCATTTAGTGTTATCCAAAGACAAAGATGCACACTTTTTTTTTATCTAAAGAATCACATCAACAGCGATACAAGGGAAGCTTACTTGAGCGCCCCACATATAAGCGTGAGGACTTGGAGATCCAACTGGGGATGGGAAAAAAGGATTTGGAGTACCTCCTCCGCCATAATAAGCCTAACGAAATAAACATACTATTATGTTTTGCAGTCATTCCGAGAAAGAATTCACTAGACTATGAAAACTAATAGTGGCTAAAGTTGTGCATGTAACACGAACCTGCATTGAATTTGACCAATCTGGATACGGTGTGGGAGGAACTTCCTGAAAACAAGAGGTAGATACATCAAACACCTTAATATTTAAAACAGAACAAGAGCAAGAGCAAGAGCAAGGGACGTTGTTCCTGAAAAAGAAAGGAGAAGAGAAGGATCAACCTGAGCCGAAGACGTTGGTTTGGTAGGCTTAAATGGCATCTTGTCTTCGCTCGTTCCCATTGTTTATATAAGCTTACTTACTACTAACTTGTGTTACTCAAAACTATAAACAAAAATCAAGAATCTGTCAAAACAAGAATCTTGACAGAGAAATAGTCATCATAAAACATCACAAGAAGATTAAATCCAAAACTCAAAAAAAGGATAAAACTTTTGCTTTCAATTGTAGTAATCAATGACTTTTAAAACAGAGCAAGGGCCCTGTTCTTTTTGCTTTCATTTATAACAATCTAAAGTCTCGAACCTACAAATCCCTAAGCTTTTGAATCATGCATCAGTAAGAAAATCTCAAAGGCCTTAAATTACATGAACTAGTTGTGAATTATCATGTCCTAAAACAAGCTCTATTTGCATAATTGATTAACGAATTCAATTCGAGTTCAACAGAATCTGTTACATGCAAAAGGTGTTTGATTGTAGAAAGAAATTAAACGAGAAAAAGTTGGAAAAAAAACAGACCAGCTTCTAATTGAGTAAGTGATGTGGAAGTCCAGCTAGGATTTTTATAGAGCGAGACAAAGATGCCGACACGTCCTCTCCGACAGATCAGACAAACTCCGGCTCCGAAGAAGTCCTGATTGTTTTTTTTTCTTTTAGGGTTTTATCTCTTACTGCTTCATTGAATCTGTCGGAGAGATTTGATTGAAGATAGCCAAAAAAAAAGGATTGAGATTCTCCGATCTGGTGTGGCAAAGTCCGATAGGAGGAGAAGAATGCGAAGAAAGAGGAAAGTTTTTTTTGGTTTGGGGGATTTTAGGGTTTGATGATCTGACACGTGCGACAATGAGAGGTCCAGCTGTACACGTGTTACTGGATAAGGTTTTGACACGGTAGCTACAGTTTGGTGTGACTCATCTACTCATTTATTTCAAAATCAATTTACAATCATTATTAGCGATCTAATATAGTAGATTAATATTAAATACTATATTTTTGGATGATTATGGTCAATGATCATAAAACCCTTTTTACAATTATGTATGATTTTATTTCTTGTACTGAGAAATAATTAAATAGTATCTTTTTCTTCAAACTACTATTTAATTTATTTTCCCTTGTAAGGCATATTATTGTTTGTGAACTTTTTCTATAACACAAACTAACCAAGTCAAAGCTTTTTTTAGTTGTAACTTGTAAGTTCTTTAACGTAGAATATTAATATTTGCTAAAATTGTTGATATTAAATCGATAATAACTTATCGTTAAGAAGTAAGAACTAATTGATCTTTTTCAAAAAAAAAAAAAAAAAAAAAGAACTAATTGATGACAAAAAAAAAAAAAAAAGTAAGAACTAATCAAAACTCAGAAGACGTCAGAAAAAAAGAGTCAACAAGAATTAATTGCTAAAAGAATTAAAAACAACTAATATTCGAGACGGGCCCTTAGTTTTTCCCTTGAGCCCATTGGGCCTTGTTTAATAGTCCCTACAAATATTTCTGATAATTGTTGCGATAGGTGCTAGCATAAATAAGAAGATGTCTCAAACTCATCAAAGTTTTGTAATTTTCCGTTTCCAAATAAAATTTAAATATGGATATGCATTATCAATAATTAATTAATTTTCACACAGTTTATAAAATAAAATGACAAGTTTCTTTCAGATTTAATAGATATCGAAATTCAGTGCACTCAAAACAAATCGGTTTTCTTAGGTAAATATAGCATCTTTCGTATAGCATTAGTATTACCATTACGTAGTTGATGTGATAGATCACCAAATAGAAAAGGTCCAAGACTTTTATTTTTAAAATCTCATCATATGACGACTCAAACATATCATACAATACATTAGATACAGTGAATGTGTTGAAAGTGGTTACGAGTACTTAAAACGAACCCATTTTAGAAAGAGCCACTACATTACGTTTTCTTTACACTTCACTTTCTATATACCCAAACTACATTAAATCCTTCACTTATTCGCCAAACTCTTCTTCGTGGGTCCATAGTTTCTAAACTTTATGAGACCATAATGTTTTCGGTCGATAATTTCAATTAGGATTTAGTATATGTCTATATCAAAAATATCATAACGTGGATCAAAATCCAGAACAACTTAATCAAATATCCTCTAATCATGTCCAACAAAACTTTGATTTTCGGAAAATGCACTTGTAAATTTTACAATGACTCTTAGAAAAAGATCTAGATCATAGAACCTCTATTCATGTCCAAAAACTTTGATTTGTTTTTTTGCGTTGATTAGAAAACGATGTGTCGAAGTCTAACACATTTAGAAATGCATGATAAGACGTGATAATTTTTGATGACTAATAAGATACTATCACTTTTTATTATGCGATCCAGATCACTAATTATCATGATCATGAATATATTAATTATAGAGCAAATATGACTGTTCCCTAACCATAGTATAAGCTTTACACATTAGTTGTCAACAGATCTATAAACCTTGACTCAAAATGTTTTACCAAAATTAGTTATATTTTATCCGAACTCCTCTTTTGTTTAAATTTGGCAAACTCTTATCCATCGAGATAAAAAGTGTTAACAACCGTTTTGCTCATCTTATCTTCATGTGCATGTCATCTAGTCCTTTGTCTTCTACAATTTTAAAAGCAAAGAATTTTCGAATCTTGCAGCCGATACTGCTTTTATGGCTGCACTTTTTTCTTGGTTAGAGAAAAATATTTATTCTCCAAAACCAAATTGGTTTACTTATCCAACAAAGTGGCTAAATTTTTTTAACTACTTGAGCAATTGTTGCTTTCATAAAGATAGCCAAATTACATTAGCGAGAAACCCATCGTCAATATATTTGTACAATAGAAATTCAACAGTAATCTACTAAATTTACTTAACAATATGCTTCCCTATTTCACGACACTAACTTGATATAATTTAAAATATTACATTAAGCTAGTAATTTTATATGTATAGACTCATCCACTCCGCTTCATCGATGTAACTGTTATCTGGCACCGGATAAAACAAGTTATCATAGTCATCGCCATCATCTCCGACTTTATAGTCTCCGAAAAATGGCGCTTCATTAGCTTCGACTGAAACCGAAGACGAAATCGGACTGTTGCTTGAGCCTCCTTCTACTCTTTCTGCTAATCTTTGAATTTCCCTCTCTGCATCATAGAGTTGTTCTTTGAGCTGAATAACCTGACGAAGAAAAAAATGTAAAATTAATCATTACGTAGCTTAATCACCGATGCAAGCATCTGATTACACTTAAAATGGGGGTTTTAGTCAGTGGGCCTACTGTGGAATTGAGCCCATTGACAAAGACTAGCCACTATTAAGAAAATAAGAACATTGTACGGACAATATAAAGTGTATTATGTTGTGTAATAAGGTGGCAATATACTGTTCGATATCACTTTTTTTTTGGTTCTCAACTTCACTTTCTGTCTCATTTATTGAATTTTTTAATTTCTTCGAGCCTTGAGCTCACGTTCATTTATGCCAAAAGATAATTACCAAAAGAATGTATAAAGTCTAAATTACCTATTATATTTAACTTTTACTATGCAATTTAGTATAGCAACAAGGTAAACAAAAAAACGAAGTTCGGACGAAAATTCTAATTACTATTATTAAAAAGTTTGGAAAATAGCAGCTTCATGTTTCATATAGTTAATGTATATAGCATTTTCCTTTATTATCTATGTAGATGTAAATTTTGGATTGGAAAAAGTTGTTTAATATATCCCTTTAGTTATCATTATCTCAAGCATGGATCAAATCGATCATGAAGAAACTTAAAACCATTCCCTACATACCCGTATATATTATATATATATTTATAATTAAGAATAAAAATTTGAACAAGAAACGAAAACAGCAAAACAAAAAGTAATTGAAACAGAAAAAAAGAATAAATACCTCAGATTCAAGTCGGCACTTGTCGACAACGACGTTATCATGTGAGTTCTTGAGTTTATTGTACTCCTCTTCGAGCCTTTTGTTCTTCCACCGTGCACGACGGTTCTGAAACCAAACGGCAACTTGACGAGGGTCAAGGCCTAGCTCCGCCGCAAGTCTATCTTTCCTCTCCGACTCAAGTTTGTGCTCATCACCAAAACTCATCTCCAACATGTTCACTTGTTCATCGGTTAGCTTCCTCTTCCTAAACAAACTGTTGCTTCCGTCTCCGGAAGCCAACGCTCCTTTGCTCTTCTTCCTCCTCCGCTTCGGTTGCTTCACTTCTCCTACCGACCAAACAAAATAAAAAGCAAATTAATAACTCATGCTCTAAAAGCAGAAACATCTTAAATAAAAAGTTTGGATTTTTCTTGGAAGTGTATTCACACTTCACATGCACGTAGTTAACATCAATATTTTTAGGTCTATATATGCGTGTTGGTCGAGAACTTTTTTTTTTTAAAGACTCGTGTATATATATATAACACCCACTTGAATTTGTATAATTTCTTCCATAAATTGTTTGGGGAATTTTCAGACTCTGATATATAAAGGATAAAAACTTTCGGATAAATTAACTAAAAACAAAACCCACTGGTATTTTTATAAGAAAATCCATGAAATTTGGGTCTTGTCGAACTTTAAAACAAAAAGATATGAAATTTCGAACATACTAATTACAAAAAAAATTAAAGAAGGACAAACCTGGTTGTGGTACTATCTGAGTGTAGACATCAGGGTACAGTTGAGAGATAAAAGCCATGTTCTGATCATCCACCGTGTGGTTCATGTTCTTGGATCTCTCTATCTCTGTCTTAATTTGTCTCACTTTTTATGAAATGTGAGAAGTTGTGTTGGGGAAGAGGAAGACCTATGATTTATAAGGAGTGTAGGTGCCAAGAAATGAATTTTTTTTTCCTTCTGAAATGTCATTTTCCTGATGTGGGCTTCTTGGTTTTTTTAATTACGGAACTACCACTGGACGTAATTACATTCCTAATCTTAATCCTCGTTATGACTTAGGAGGATTAATTAAAAAGACAGTGAAATTAAAAGGGAAGAAAAGATTTCTTTGTCACCAACTTTAATATTGTTTCATGTTGTAAACCACGACCTTGACAGTTTTCTTAGATATTCCCAATTTTTGAACGACTGTTTGTGTCGATTCAACCAGAAATATTCTTTTTTTTTTAACCCGAAATATTCTTACAACACATACAGATATTTACACACATTTTCTATAACATTATTTGTTGGAGGTTCGAATCAATTTCTCTTAATATTGATTGTAAAAATCTACTCGAAACACGACATACAATTCATACAAAACTTTTTTTGACTACCTTATATACATACCAATATCAAGTTACAATATATATTGTAACCTTATAAAAGGACAAATCTTCGTAATTTTAAAATCCTAATTTTTTATTTAAAAGTTTACCACATCATCAATTATTTCGTTTATATTTGCGTAAATTACATGTTATATACATCTAATATTTTGTTATATATGTTAATATATAGAAATGTATGGTTGCACAAATAAAAAACGACATGTATTTATCATTGTGCAGACGA